TTTTTAGTTGGCTCTTTCTCAGGTTTTGGTACTAGAGTAATATTTGCTTCCAGGAATGACTTAGGAAGGATTGCTTCCCTTTCAATTTCATTGAAGGGTTTGAGGAGTGTCGGCATTAGGTCTTCTTTGTATTTCTTGTAGAATTCTGCAGTGAATCCATCTGGGCCTGGGCTCTTCTTGGTGGGTAAGGCCTTAATTACATTTTCAACTTCATTAACAGAGATTGGGTTATTCAACAGTTTTACATCCTCTTGATCTAGCTTTGGTACTTCATATGCTTCTAAGAATCTGTCTATTTCTTCTGTGTTATCAAACTTTTGAGAATAGAGGTTTTCGAAATAGGTGTTGATGATCTTCTGTATTTCTATTGGGTCTGTAGTGATTTCATCTTTTTCATTTCTTATTGCATGAATTTGAGCTTTTTCTTCCCTTTTTTGAATAAGGTTGGTTAGGGGCTTATCGATTTTATTTATTCTTTCAAAGAACCAACTCTTTGATTCGCTCATTCTTTGGATTGTTTTCTTAGTCTCTATTGCATTGGTTTCTGCTCTGATTTTTATAATTTCCTCTCTTCTTTTCGCTTTGGGCTTGACTTGCTCTTCTTTTTCTAGCTGTTTGAGGTGTAGCATCAAGTTATTTATTTGTATTCGTTCTGTTTTCCTGATGTGGGAACTCAGTGCAATAAATTTTCCTCTCAGGACGGCTTTCATTGCATCCCACAGATTCCGGTAAGTTGTATCTGCATTTTCATTTTCTTGTAGGTATTGTTTAATTTCTTCTTTAATTTCTTCTGTGACCCACTGATTACTCCAGAGTGTGTTAATCAGTTTCAATGTGTTTGTGGGATTTTTGCAGTATCTTTTATCATTAATTTCTAATTTCAGAGCGCTATGATCTGATAACATGCAAGGGATGATTTCAGATCTTTTGCATTTGTTTAAATATGTTCTGTGAGCTAATATATGGTCTATTTTAGAGAATGATCCATGTACTACTGAGAAGAATGTTTATTCTGATGTTATTGGGTGGAACATTCTGTATATGTCTATCAAACCCATTTGTTCACAGGTGTGATTCAGTTCTGTTATTTCTTTGCTCATTTTCTGTCTGGTTGATCTGTCCCTTGGTGTCAATGGAGTATTAAGGTCTCCTGTTACAATTTTGTTACTGACAATTTGAGTTTTCATTTCTGTTAATTTTTGTTTTATATAACTCTGTGCTCTGGAGTTTGGTGCATATATATTTACGATAGTTATCTCTTTCTCTTGGAGTTTTCCCCTTACAAGTATGTAGTTACCTTCTTTGTCCTTTATGGTCATTGTTGGTTTAAAGTTCACGTTGTCTGCTAACAGAATGGCTACTCCTGCCTTTTTTTGGATTCCTGCTGCATGAAGAATTGTTTTCCATCCTTTTACTTTCAGTCTGTGAGTATCCTTCTGGGTTAGATGGGTTTCCTGTAAACAGCATATGGTTGGATTTTGTTTCTTGATCCATTCTGCTAGTCTGTTTCTTTTGATTGGTGCATTGAGACCATTTACATTAATGGTTATTACTGTTTAATGCTGGTTAATTTTAGGAATGTTATCTCTCTGCTGTTGCATCTTTATCTTTCTGTTCTGTTTAATTATTTGCTTTGCTTAGTGGTTTTTTTCCTTTGTGTATCTAAACTGTCTTTCAGTATTTTTTGCAGGGTTTGTTTGGTGTTCATGAAGTTCTTTGGCTGTTCTTTGTCATGGAAGTATCGTATTTCACCATCAATTTTGAATGATAGTTTTTCAGGATATATCAGCCTAGGTTAGAAATCATTTTGCTTTAGGATCTGGAATACTTCACTCCATGCTCTTCTTGACTTTATTTTTTGTGCTGTGAAGTCTGCTGTGATTCTGATAGGTTTTCCTTTATAAGTGATCTGTCTTTTCTCTCTGACAGCTTTTAATAATCTATTCTTGTGTTGGATTTCTGGGATGGTGATTATTATATGTCTGGGTGTAGTTTTATTTTGGTTATGACTATTTGGAGTTCTATATGCTTCACTGATCCTGATGTCATTTTCTGATCTCATGCTTGGGAAATTTTCAGCTATTACTTCTCTAAATATCCTCTTGACATCCTTTATGTTGTCTCCTTCTTTTTCATTAATCCCTATCATTCTTATGTTATTCTTCTTTGCATCGTCTTGCAGTAGTTGAATTGTTGTTTCCTGATTCCTTGTTATTTTTAAAAGATCTTTCCTTTCCTGCTCACTAGCTGCAATCCTGTCTTCAAGGTCTGAAATTCTATCTTCACTTTCATTAAGGCAGTTTTTACAACTTTCAGTGTAGTTTTTTATTTCGTGTATATCTCTGTGCATCTGCATTATGTATTCTGTTTGTTTCTTATATTGCTCGTCTAGGGATTCTATCTTTTTGTTTAGTTCCTCCAATTTTTTATCTGTGTTTTCTTTAGATATATTCAGAATCTCTTTCATTTCTTTTATCATTTCTTCTTTTACCTGGGAGATTATTTCGAGTTTGAATTTCTTTAAAGCTTCCTGGAGTTGCTTGTCAATTTCAGTGGCTATTGTGTCCGATATATGAGGTGGATGGGATATGTTTTCTTCTATATACATTGTTCCTAGGGTTTCTTGAGATGGGCTGGAGGTTTGAGGTTGTAATTTGGTCTTTTGTTTTGTCATTTTCCTATATTTCTGTGTGTCAAGTGTTATTTGAAAGCTTCCTCAGGATCTGTTGAAAATCCCCTTCTATGTTTGCAGCTACTGAGCCTCTGGCACCACGCTACCCCAAGCCATTGGGCCTGCAGAACCAATGGCCCTCCTCTGCCTGCTCAGTACTCTGCAGTTCCAGACAAGTTGGGCCTCGGACACTGTGCACCCACCTTCCCCTTGGAAGCTCCACAGCTCTTCAGTCACAGCCGGGTTAGGGTACTCACCACAGGCCGCGGTGCCTCAGGAACCTGTGATCCCTCCGTGCTTGCAGAGATATCCACAGTCCTCCAGACACATGGAGAGGCCGATGCAGGCACCCCAGATCCGCCCAGCCCCTCCTCTGCACACCGATGGCTGGGCGCGGCAGTGAAACAGGCTGGGTTCAGGGGATAGTGTGGGCACACCCACCCGTCAGGAGCTCAGCAGTTCTCCAAGTGCAACCAGGATGGGGAGGCGGATGTAGAGGCCTCAAACCCACCTCTCCACTTCACTGCACCTGGAAGCCTGGAGGGACCCAAACAGTCTCGATTATATCTTAATAAATAGTTTCTGCATGTCGAAAGTAATCTCCAGCACAGTGAAAAGAAAATCCACAAATTTGGAAAAAATCTTAGTGAATTGTCCCTCAGACAAGGACTTCTCTCTAAAACCTATAAAGAATTTTAAAAAATTAAACCCCTGAAATTCAAAGGCTCAAAAATAGGCATCCAAGATGAATACTAGAGTTCTCAGATGAAGAAATACAAATGGCAAATAAATACATGAAAAAATGTTCACCATCATTAGTCATTAGAGAAATGCAAGTTAGTCATTAGAGAAATGCAAGAAAACCCCCAAAAACAAATTCTGTAGAGGCTGTGGTGACAAAGGAACGTTTCTGCACTGTTGGTGGGAGTGTACACTGGTGCGAGCACTGTGGAGATCAGTCTGGAGATTCCACAGAAACCTGGGATTGGAAATTCCATTTGACCCAGCTATTCCACTTCTAGGCTTATTCTCAGAAGAACAGAAAACATCATACCACAGTGATACATGTGCACCCATGTTTATAGAAGCACAATTCGTAATAGCCAGATCTTGGAAACTACCTAAGTGTCCATCAACCGAGGAATGGATAAAAAAGTTGTGGTATTTTATACAATGGAGTACTACTCAGCTGTAAATAATGATCACATTGAAATATTTATAAATAAATGGATGCAATTTCAGTCCATACTCATAAGTGGAATAAATCAAACTGACATGTATAAATGCCATATAGTCTCCCTCATGTAAGAAATAGTAAGAGTTCAGAAGACTTTATGGTAGTCATCATTCCCCATTATATTGCTTTGAAGCCTTATAATGTTTTCATTCTTTAGATGGAATGGTTTTATTCTGTTTTGTTTGATTGAATTATGTTTTATTGTATGAACAAGTATTTTGACGATAACAAGACATTCTAATAGCTGTTGATGACTTTATATCATCTTGCTTTGAAGTCCTACCTTACTTTTGTTATTCTGTTTCCATTGGTTCTATCACAATGTGTCTTATTGGATATTAATATGTGTGATAGTTTAAACAAATTTTCTGTGGAAAATGAGATCATATAGTAGCCATTGTTCATTTTTCTGTTATTTGGTTTGAATGCTCTGTAATACTTTCATTCTCTTGAATGGTTTTATACTATTTTGTTATTTTGATACTATTGTATGTGAAGGTATGCTCAACTATTTCAAAGAAAGTGACATTATGGCAGCTACTGTTATTATCCTGTTGCCTTGTTGGAAGTTCTGTGTTGCTTACATTGTTTTGTTCTGATCTGCTTTTTTCTGTCCTCTTTTGTCTGAATCTCTTTAAAATGAAAAAGAAGTAAAACGTGAGAAAAATGCAAAAAAAATGTGTCTGAATTGTAATTTATTTTCAGTCAGAGAAGTTAATGCAGAAACAAAATTGGTCTTGTTTTAATAATGGTTGAATCTGAATAATAAGAGTTCATCATAGTAATAGCTCTTATTTTAAATAAATTTCAACTTTCTATGATAGAATGCACTTTGTAGTTTTTATGTGCATTACCTTGTTGAATGAAATAAGGCAAAAATGCAATTTCACACTGGGTGTAATCTATGTTTTACTTATGCAAAAGTGGTGAGGGGAATTCATAGTATGACTATTGCCTTTGTACTTCTGTTACATTCAATCATAAATTACATGATCACTTCTTCAAACTTTTATTTTTTCCTCATTTTTGATGAACTTTTAAAAGGTATAAATTCTAGCACTCCCACTATTTTTGAATATTCAGTATTTTATATAAAATTATTTAAAAACTCACCATTTTGATGAAGAAACCATCTTGAATAGCTCCTTCAAAAAAAGAAGAAAAACATGAAAATGAAATAAAGAGGGAAATGGAGAAAGAGAGAATGAGATTGAGATTTGGGAGCCAGGTCTAATGACAGTTCTCTGAAGGGTGCAGTTTCTCTATCATCCTTTGAAGTGATACAACGCAAAATTATGTACTTGAATAAGGGCTGTGACTATAGGTGAGCCTGAAGACATGCAGTAAGAAGTAGGAAAAAGAATGTGTCAGTAATTTAAAAAAAAATAGTGTCTTCTCAAAGTCAAGTAGTGGTTAAGACTAAATAAGTACTACTGAGGAAATGGTCAGTAAAGTTCAAGAAAGCTACAAATTGTTCTCCTATGTACTCGATTCATACATAAAATACTTTACAAACTGAGAAATATGTAAACTAAAACAACTGCATTTACTTGAGAGTTTTTCTTTTACTCTTAACCCACCACCATCACTGCAAGAAAATATAGCAAGAAAGATTCCAAAGACTTGGAAATTTTTCCTTTGCAAACCATTTACCACTTCCTAGAAGAGTTGTCCCACAACACACAAAATGTGTAATTCCTAGCAACTTGGCATTTATAGAAGATTACCGGGTTTCTTAAAAAACATGAAGCTTATTTTTTCCCATTTCCCTACCGTCCCTTCAATCCCTCCTCCTTCCTCACTCATAAAGTTTTCCATGTTTTCCTTCTTTTCTCATTTTTTTTTTTACTTTTCTCTTTTTTCCTTTCCCTCTCTCCTATTTTCTGTTCCTTTCCCCATTTGAGCATTTTACTCCCGGTTTAAAATATATTTTGGTCCTTATTCACACTTTCCATTTCTCACATCACAGAAACAATGTGCTATACACACATTTATGTCCAATTTATTTTATATAAGAGTATCTACTCATGGTGCATCCATTTTTTTAGAAATATCACAAGTTCATCCTTCCTTATGGCAGAGTAGTGCTTAATCATATAAAAAACCACACCATCTTTCTCCATTCACCAGTTGATAGGCACTTGGGTTGCTTCCAAGATTTGGCTATTACAAACTATGTGGCTATGAACATAAGTATACATATGTCACTCTGATATGATGCTTTTAGTTCTTTTCGGGTGATAACCAGGAGGGGAATGGCTGGGTAAAAAGGAACCTCTAGTCCTAGTTTTTTTTTGTTTGTTTGTTTTTGTTGTTGTTGTTGTTTTTTTTTTTTTTTTTTTTTTTTTTTTTTTTTTTTTTTAGAAATCTGCACTGATTTCCACAGTGGTTGCAACCACCTACACTTTCAACAAAAGTACAGAATGGTTCCTTTTCCCCCACAGCCTTGCCACCATTTGTTATTGGCTGAGTTCTTGATAATAGCTCTTCTTTCTTGGTGACATAGAATCTCAGTTTTGTTATAATTTCAAAGTCTTTAATGACCAGTGATTTGAACATTTTTCTCACATATTTATTTGCTGTTTGCATTCATCATCTGAGAGGTCTGTATTCAGATGTCAATGTTTGGATTGAGGATTTAAATTTTGAAGGCCTTATTTTTTAGTTCTTTATATGTTCTCAATAATAATCCTTTGTTTGAGGAATACCTGGCAAGTGTTTTTGGCAACTACACTGTGAGTTGTCTCATCACTCTTTCTGTGTTTTGACTTTTTGTGCAAAATATTTTAATAAGATGAATTCCCAGTTGTTGATTCTTTCTGAAGTCCTGTGTGATCAAGGTTTTACTCATAAAGTCTTTGCCAACATCAATATCTTCAAGAGTTTTACCTATTCTATCTTTCAGCAGATTTAATGTTTCTGTTTTAATATTTAGATATCTGATCTATTTTGAATTTAGTGCATGGTGAAAGATATGGGTTCAGTTTTAATCTTCAGAATGTCCAAAGCCAGTTTTCCCAGCCTCATTTATTAAAGAGGCCATCTTCTTTTCAATAAATGTGTTTGGCACCTTTGTCAAAAATAAGGTGGTTGAGGATGTCTGGAATTGCTTCTGATCTTTTAATCTCTTACACTGTTCCTTGGGTCTGTTCTTTTTCAGTATCATGTGCTTTTATCACAGTAGGTTGATAGTATGATTTCAAGTTTTGGTTTGTGATTCCCCCTTCCTTGGACTCATTGCTCATAATAGACTTTGCTATTCTAGGTCTCTTTTGATTTCAAATTCTGTGAGATATGCTGTGGAATGTTGACTGGAATTGCAATAAGCATGAATAACTGTTTTGGAGACATGACCATTTTCAATATATTGGTTCTTCCTACCCGAGAGCAAGAGTTGCTTTTCCATTTTCTGATATTATTTTCAGTCTTGTTTTTCAGAGTACTCTACTTTTCAACATAGAGATCTTTAACTTCTTTTGTAAGATTGATTTTTAGGTATTTCAATTTTTGTACACTATTGTGAAAGGTATTATTTCTTTAATTTGTTTCTCTGTGAGTTTTTTATTCATACACAAGAAATATATAGATTTTTGAGAATTGACTTTGCATCCAGCTAGGAAGCTGGATTTGCTGATTAAATCTAGCCATCTTTCAGGGAAGTTTTTGGTATCTTCTATATAGAGTATCATGTCATAATGATAGTTTAATTTCTTCCTTTGGTATTCTTTTCCATTTTATTTCTTTCACTTGTCTAATTGCTTTGGCTAATGTTTCTAAGGCTATCTGGAATAAGAGTGGAGACAGTGGACACTTTTATTCTTGTCTTGTTATTGAAAACTTTGTGTTGTACATTTAGCATAATGTTGGCTGCTGGATTGTCATAGATGGATCTTATTAGATTGAGACAAAGAGAATCTATTACAATTTTCTGTATGGTTTTTATGATGAATGAGTGCTAGGCTGTCAGATTTTTCTGCATCTATTGAGCTGATCGCATGATTTTTATCCTTTGCTCTGTTAATATGGTGTATTATATTTATTGTTTTATGTGCATTGAACCAACTCTGCAAACCTGAGATGAATCCAACTTTCTCTTGGTGTACAAACTTCTTGATAATTTGCTGCATTCTGTTTGCCACTATTTTGTTGAGGATTTTTGCACTGACATTCACTAGGGAGAATAGTCTATAGTTCTCATTCTTAGTTGTGTCCTCCTGTTTTGATATCAGGGTAATGCTTGTTTCCAGGAATAAATTTGGGAGTATTTTCATTTTCCTTAGTAAGTTTAAGAAGTAGCGCTATTAAGTCTTCTCTAAGTTTCTTGTAGAATTCAGCAGTTAATCCATCAGGGTCTGGGATTTCCTTTTCTTGGGAGATTTTCAACTGCATCTTCAAATTCCTTGATGAATATTAATTTTTAGTCTATCTATGTCTTCTTGATTCAGCTTTGGTGATTCATATACATCTAGGAATCTGTTTGCTTCTTCTGCATTTTCTACTGTCTTAGAATACAAGTTCTCAAAGTAGGTATAGATGATCTTCTAGATTTATGCAAAGTGTGCTGTGATTTCACCATTTTCCTTCCTAATTGCATGTATTCATGTCTTTTCCCCCCTTTTATGATAAGGTTAGCTAAAGGCTTGTTGACTTTATTTAGTATTTCAAAGAAAAAACTCTTTCATTTATTATTTGTTTGGTTTTCTTAGTTTCCAAAGCATTAACTTCTACTCTGATCTTTATAGTTTTTTTACTTCATACAAGCTTTGTGCTGGACCTGCTCTTATTTTTCTTTAAGTTTGTGCTTTAACTATGTTGTTTATTTTTGCTTACTCTGTTTTCCTTGTAGGTATTTACTACTAAAAATTTCCTTCTTAGGGGTGTTTTAATTGTTTATCATAAGTCTGGTATACTGTGTTATCATTATTGTTTAGTTGCAAAAACTGTCTTATCTCATTTTTAATTTCACCTGTGACCTATTGATTGTTTTGAAAGATGTCATTTTATTTCCATGTATTTATGTAGTTCTTGTGGTTTCTTTTGACATTGATTTCCAATTTCATCACATTATGGTCTGATAATATACATGGGATAATTTCTATTCCTTTGCATTTACTTAAGCATAATCTATGAGCTAATATGTGGTCCATTTTGGAGAGCATCCTGTGTGCAGCTGAGAAGAATGTGTATGCTGATGTTGAGGAGTTGAGTACTCTGTAAACAACCATATGTCCCTTTAATCAAAAGTTTGGATCACTTCTAATATTTCATTGCTGACTTTATTGCCTAGTTGACTGTCTTTTTGTGACAGGGAAGTATTGAGACCTCACACTGTAAGTGTATTAGAGTTTATCTGATATTTCATGTTGGTTAATATTTGTTTTTATATAGTTGGGTGCAGTGGTATTTGTTGCATATGTATTTATAATTGCTGTCTCTTCCTTTTGGACTGTTCCCTTTTCAAGGATTAGTGACCTTCTTTATCTTAAGAAATCAGTCTTGGTTTGAAATTCACTTTGAAGGCAAATATAGTAGCTACCCCTGCTTTTTTTCTAGGTTCCTATAGAAAGGAGCACTGTTTTACTTCCTTAATATTTCAGTCTATGAATTTGATTTTTAATAAAATGTTTTTATGTGGCATATTGCTGGATTTTGCTCATTGATTCATTGTGCCAGTCTCTGATTCTTGATTGGTGAATTTTAGATCCTTAATATTGATGGTTATAATTCATATGTATAAACTTATCCTTGTCATGTTTCTTTCTGCTTTTGACTCCTCCTCTTTTCCACCTTCTGTTTAATTGTTTACCTTGCCTAATAGATTCCTTCTTTTGAAGTTCATGGAGTTGTAGTCCTTGTTTTTTCTTTATAGAATGTTCTTTGGAACCTTTTGGAGTCCTGCCTTGGTGTCCATAAATCTTCTCAGATGTTATTTGTCATCGAAGTATCTTATTTATCCATCATTTTTGAAAGATAGTTTTGCATGTTACATCAATTGGGGTTGGAAGTTGTTTTTCTCTAGAGCTTGAAATAGTTCACTCTAAGCCCTCCTTAATTTGAGGGTTGTGCTGAGAAATTGGCTGTGGTTCTGATGGGTTTTCCATTATAGGTGATTTGTTTTTTATCACTAATGACTTTTGACGTTGTATTCTAGAGTTGCATTTCTGAAATCTTAACTATGATATGGTTGGCTGTAGAATTTTTTATCATGGCTAATTGGAGTCTCATATCTCTCACTTATCTGTATAACAATTTCGTTTTCTTTACCAGGGACCTTTTCTGTCAGGAAGACTGTGAACAGATTTTTTAAAATAGCATTTGTGTTATCTCCTGATTTTTAATTGACTCTAGTGAATATTAAGTTATCCTTGTTTGCACTGTCTAGAGCAGCTGCTGAATTAATTTCTCATGGCACTTTGCTAGTTATAATAAATCTTTCTTTTCATGATCTCTAAATGCAGCCTATTTTTTATATCTAAACTTCTGTTCTCCCATTGTCTCATCCTGCTGTACATACTTACAGTGGAATTTATATTCTTCCAGATACCTTCTTAAATATGTCTTATGGATTCCATTTCTTTCCTATTTTGGGCATTCGTGGCTTCCATCATTTTCTTAAGTTCTTTTCTTTTCTTCTTTTTTTCCCTGCATCTGCTCAAGAGTCACTAAGCATGGATTCCATTATGACATTTATGTGAGGAATTGTTTCTGATTTGATTTTTCTAGAGCCTCATTGAATCCCTTTGTTGTTATCACTTTAGAAAGGTCAGGTTGATGGCTTTCAGTTTTCCTCAACTCATTTCCCCTTGGGTTAGCCTTTGGTGAACTGGATGTCTGGGGTTGTATCTTGGTTAAGAGTGTTCTCGTCTTTTCTTTTCTATTATTTTCACTTTGTAGCTTAATTCTGAGACTGGTTTGCTTATAAATTACCTTTGCTTAGTTGCTCAAAGAAAACTTAGGAAATGACTACTTCTCAGAAGTGCCTTTCAGATGTAGCTGTTTTTTGATTTTAAGTCTTTTGTAAGATTCTACCTCTTTTATTTGTTGGGATTGGGAGTTTACTGCCTGGTTAGTCCAGCCTGTGGTTCTTTGGCACTGGCCCACAATATTTTCTATGATCCTTGGAATACAGGGAAGAATAGCTGCCTGGGAAAGTTATGCCACTTTTGGTTAAAGTGGTAACAACATCAGTAACAATAGTATCAAACACAGGCTCGAATGCAGCAAACTGAAGTAACCAGTAATTTTCCACCTTTAAACTTCTGAACTAGATTTGTGGTTATATAAGAAAATCTAAAACACACCACTCAGACAGAAGTAGAGCCCAGATGGAAGCCATGATTCCTATGGGCCAGTCAGCTGAGAGGAGAACTAGGATGGAAGGCTTGTCCTACCATAAGCCAGCCACCACGTGAGCTGGGAGAGAAGAAACCTCCCCCTCCTCCCATAAGCAACTGCCTAATTCAGAAGAACGCAGTCTGAAATGATACCAACTGAAGTAAAGAAACAGCCTAAAATTTGTATTGTTTGATGGCAACTCTCAGAGAGGATCTTTCGCTATTGCTTACTACTTCACCATCTTCCTGGAAGTCTGGACAATAAGGATATAGATGGCTTGAGAAGGATGCTGCTAAAGTGGTAAAAAGAGAGCTATTATGTTAAAAAAAAATTTCTGGCTTAATTTGTTTTGCTTTTATCTTTGGAAAGGATTTGAATGAATAACACAGAAGTAACAACAGGGAAAGAAATTTTCTTCTGCCATTCCACAAGAAAAATCGGACTGTCATGTCTTAATGATCCTTAAGACTATGAAAAAACATTCTTATATGTATTTTCACTGCAAACACAGTCATTTAAGTAGTTAAAATGAACTTAGTATACATTGAAGATGGAGGATAATTTTAGCAGGGTATGGATTGTAAAATATCTACCTATAGCGGGGTAATGGGGCAGAAAAAAGGTAGGGTGGAAGAAGTCACTTAGTTTTCTCTTTGCAAATTAAATTGTACATTCCCACTGTATAAAAGCATGGAGTCTCATATAACTTTTATTTATGTGCATATGAATACTAACAAAGATAGTAAAAAATTTATTGATTTGTTAAAATGTGTCTAAATTCACATTGGCTTCCAGATGCAGAACATATCCATCTAATTATAGACACAATGTTTATTATTATAATGAAAATTATAAATTTTAACTCTAAATAAGCTTCAAGTGCAGTATTTCACAGTATTCCCAAAGTGAAAACAAAAGGATGACTAAGTTAAATAAGACTTCCACTGATGCACACTTTCAGACCAAAGTATCTTACAAACTATCTTAATTCTGTTGTTTCTGATGTGAAGAGTTCTTCATGGAATTACAAATTAATAAAATTTTCTGCTTGACTGAATGACAATAAAAATATATACACCATATGCCTAAATTTTGATAACTCTGTTTACTATATGCACCCTAGAACTCATCAATATGTTTTGCATTCTACCCTACTCTTTTGCTCTTTTAGTTACTAATCTTATAAAATTTTTACTCCCATAATAAATTTGAATATAGAGTGATTTTTAAGTTGTCAATATTATCTGTGAGACAATACAATGTTTTGTATTTTGAAATAGAAAAAACAGCTTTATACAGGAAATGTGAGATTCTTTGTCTTGAATTGTAAATTATCACAGTTGATGCTGTTTATTTTCTTTAACTCAATTTCATGCAATAAAGAAATTAATAAATGAGAAGTCTGAAAAAAGATTTCACCAAGTAAAGGAGAACCTCAGAGAAAAGTCAGGTTTAGGGATAGGAGCTACAGCAGCATTTGTTTCCCAGTTCAGACATTTCTCCTGGAAGCTGGGAGAGGAAACAAGAGGAAAATATGCAGAGATCTCAGAAACTCGTAACCACATTTATGGATATATTTTTAAAAATTTAGCATATCCAAAAATGGTAAACAAAGAAGTCATCTGCTAAATACAGTCTGAAAAGAACTGCTTCTGTAAGATATACTGCTTTTTTGTATGGTTAAAGTTCACTTTCTTCAAAATATGTTCCCTTTCCATCTGTCTATAATTCCTCCATTAAAGCTATTTTGTGTCAAGACCTATTTCTAAAGTCTGGAATTTACATATCACTGGGTATGTAATAAGATAATAAGTCTTTAGCACCTTGGAGTAAAAAAGTTAATCAGACTAACAAGAAGGGCAAAGGAATACTGCAGATGGCAAAGCATATTTGTGAATCAAGGGATGAATATAAATCAGAGTATCATATGACAACTTAGAAAGGCCTCATCAAAAGGAACACCTTATCTAAGCAGTATAAGAATATTGAAGATTTATCTTCACCCTGAATGATGTAAATATTCTGCCCAACAGTGGGACTCTACTCTTAATCCTCTAAAAAAATCAGTAATCTTCTGGAAACTCTCTCCTTTTAAGAAAAGATGCATTTAAAATAAACTCAGTATGACAATAAAATTACATAACTGGTATTCTAAAGGCACCCTAAGAAATGTAATTCAAGCTAATATAGGGAATAGTAAGAACATAGAATATAGATAAGACTCTCCATTACAAATACTTAGAGTTTCACACTGCACAAAATGACTGTTTGCAAACCCAATACAACATTGAATTATAATCAAATGTTAAGTTTCTTTAAATCAAATAGATAAGACACAGTTATAGCTAATGTTTTTCAGGCAAAATTTAACACTTATTTAAAACTCATGTAATACATCAAAACGTAATTTAAAATGAATAATTAGGTTATACCGTTGCTAGCAGCACAAGATCATTGTATAATACACTATTATTTTGCTAACAAAGTAGAAGGAAAATCAACATTTGTGCAGATAAGAAACCTCAAATCATTTTAACTATTAGAATTAATTGTGATTTTACCAGGTTTTCCCAAAAACGTATTAGTATCAAAATAGTGTACCTAAAATTACCTCTTCTTCTAAGTATGGTAAAACACTTGCTTGACTTCTGCATTTCTTCTGGATGAAATGTAGGATGTTTCTTCAGTATATGGGACATAGCTTTTAGTAGATTACTGTTTAGAAGTTCTAGCTTTTTGGTAAAGTATGTTAAAATTATCCTAATACTTAGGATCTTGGATTTAATTACTGTTACTATCCCAGTTTTCTCTTGCCTACTATTACCAAGCAGGCAGAGCAATGTAAGGGATACATATATAGCTCCCAAAATGATCATCAGCTTCCTCAAGATGTGAAAGAATTGTTTTCTCAGTTTCTGGAATGTAAGATTGAAGGATTTAGAATGTTATGTCTGAGAAAAGCTGTATTTTAAAAGATAATCAATACAGACTCTGGGTAGATATGATTGATTGTCTCTTAACCCTACTTTGCTTTGTGTAGGTGGCTTTACAGATGACACCTGTCTGGGAATGAGAAATACAATGTGTTCATATTTGTAAGTGATATAGTTTACTTTTGGTCACATTTTCACTTTGAACCAAACTTAGTGATTAATTAGTGCATTACTTCTTGCATAGGCTCAATAAGTGCAGCCAGAGTTACCTCAATTTACCTCACATTAAAGACATAATGAAATTCCCTTTACTAGGCAGATCTATATAACTCCAGAAGTGATCTTTAAAAATAGATATAGAAAGCCAAGAGTTGTTACTGTTACTTTATGGTTTCTCCTGATCCTAAGGCTGCTTGAGTCACCTCAGGTAAAGCAGGATAAACTACCTGCCCTTGATATATTCAATGTGCCAGAGGGTTATTGTGTATAATTCTGTGTATTGTTCCTAATTTAAATATACTAGAGGCCTGAGATCAGACTTTCATTTAGTGACTGTGAATGGCAGTATTTCTTGTTGACACAGAATAAAGAAAATAGCTTCAACATCTAGAGTGTAACCACATGGGAAAAAATAAAGACAAACCTATGTTGCTAACATTTTGTTCACACAGAGTAGTCAGATGTCTGTTCTATCTCAAATACAATAAAAATATGATGTTGAAATGAGAACTGTGATTTCTAGTACAAATAGGCATCTACACTCCCTTTGAGTCTAGAGATTCATGATCTGTACTAAAAGAACTAAATGCTTATGGTTGTCCTGAGTGAGTAATCTCTTTGTGACTTGGTTTCACAGATAAAGCTTCTGATTCCAGTTGACAGCATATAAGTACTGAATATTACTAAAATTTTAGCATTTAAATTTTAAGGACATAGTTAACAAAATCTCTACAGGAACATTTCAATATCAATGATAGTGAAGTAGAATCCAACAAATAAATCTTATTGTGAAAATGTGACTTCTTCATATACAGGATAACTGAAAAGCTGTGAATTATTCATGTGAGTATTTCCTTAATTTGGGGTGTTACAAATGTGGTTCTGATGTACTATTACCTTCATTCAGGTTTTTTTGTTGTTGTCTTCAGCATAATTCAGTTGCCATGGTAGAAGCGGTATGATTGCATACAAAAGATTTTGCATGTAGTTGGATGCTGTCATGCAAATCTTGTCTTGAAAGACGTCTTCTAAATTCACTAGTGGTGAAGTAGTATATGATTGGATCAAGGCAGGAATTCAGACTAGCAAGACACAGTGCTACAGAATGAAATATTTCAATCACTCTTCTGGCTAGACAACTTTTAATTTCATTGGATTTGACCAGGAAATCCAAAGGAAAACTGAAATGATAAGGTGCAAAGCAAATTAAGAATACTCCTGCACAGGTTAGAATCATCTTCAAGGCTTTCTTTTTCTCTCCAAGGTCTTGAGCAACAGGATGTTTATTTTGCAGTGATAAAGCTGTCTTCCAAGTACAGTATAGGATAATCAAAAGTGGAGTAATAAACCCAATCAATTCACCAATAGTTATCATGGCAACAGACTGGGTCAGATTGACATTCCTTGTAGGAAGATCCACAAAACACTTGGTTTTGTTTCCCAATGTGTCATCACTGGTTCTGAGAAGGGGGAAGAGTAAACAGGCAAGGCAGATGATGAGCCAGCCAACAACACTGATGTACAAATCATATTTCTGTTTGCAGTCACTGAAGTGAAAGGGGTACATGAGGAAACAAAATCGTCGTATGCTAATGCATACCAAGAAGTAGATGCTTGCATACATGTTGACATATTTTAGGTAGAAACAGAACATGCAGAGGCCAGGCCCAAATGGCCAATCATAGTTCAAATAGTAAAAGATCCTCAGAGGCAAGGAGAGAATTTGTAATAAGTCAGCAATAGCTAAATTCATCATAAATATTACAGCACGTTTGGTTTCTTTCATATAACCATAAAATACCCATAAGGCTAATATGTTCCCTGTGAGACCTGGCACAAGAATGACAGTATATGTCACTGCATAGATAAAATACCGAAAATCAGGTTTGTCTCCATCTGTCCTGTTACATGTGTCATTAGCCAGCATGATTCTTTCTAGAGATATTGTTATGGCCTAATAATGATTCAAAATCTACATAAACAGTTAACTGCTATTCTTTCTAAAAGACACGTCATCAAAAGGATGGAAAGATTAAGTATAAAATAATCTTCTGCCACATCTGTTAGCCTCATTGATTTGGGGAATTTTCAAAGAATTATCTTCATAATTGCCTTTGCTTTGTTCACAGGAAGTGTACAGAAGTTTAATGTGGAAACACAGATGAAAAGACCTTGTAATTTTCTCCTGTTTATTCTGTTGTTGAAGGCATCTTGGAGCTTCATGATAGTTGATTGTCTCCCATTTAGATTATGAGCATACTATAGAACAGATCTTCACATTTCCATATGATAATAATCACCACTTTGCTGGCAGGGTATTCTTGTCTTGTCTTTTTTTTTTAAAACTCACATATACGATTTGCTTTGGTGCATTCTTCCAGGAGATTTAGCATGGACAGATAATTTTTTCAGGATTTATTCAGATATATGTCGAAGGCTAAAGGGTGAGAAATACAGAGCTGAAAGTGAAAGAAAATAAGCCAGTTATTTTATGGCATATGTTTGAAAAAAGAAATAGCCTATATATAGAAAAATATACTGGTTTGAATAAAAAGTTTTGAGGTGAATGTGGGAAGTGTGTTACAGTTCCTGCAAGAATCACAAAAAAGCATAGGTAAAAAGAACCTGAAAAATATTCTAAACCCTCATTCTACATAGTCTTTGAACCAGTATCACATGAGAGCTTGTTACAAATTCAGATCCTCAGGTCCTACCCTGTATCAGAATTTGCATTTTAACAATCAACCCAGGTAACTCTTCTGTACATTGACATTTAAGAATTTCTATTCTATACCATTGCTTTATAAATTTCACAGATCATTAGATTCATCTGGGGAAGTATTGATATTGTTATTCAATTTTGTTTCTAGTACATCTTTCCTTGAGAGATTTTGAGTCAATGTGTTTGGAATAGGGCCTGAAATCTACCTTTTAAAAGTTTTCCATATGATTCTGATGTAGCCAATCCAGAATTTGTCCTTGAACCATCATTTGGGTGCCAGTGATGTGCTCCAAATCCTCCCAAGATGTCTGAAAGTAAGAGGACAAGAAGACTTGCTTTAAACAATTCTATTTATATGGATAATTCAGTCACCATTCAAGACAACCCCATAATTATTCAAGACACCGTAACACAAATCAAAATTCCCAGAAAGTTGACTCATTTGGATCTTTGACTCATGTTTTGAGGTAAAAAAAATTTGAGGTAAGGAACTTGGATGGTTGCTTCAAGAATGCTAAAATCCAGGACTTAACGATATGTAGGGAGATCAAAAATAAAATCATTATGAAAATCTTGCTTCAGATCATCAAATCCATTTAGATTTAGGAATGCATGATTCAGCACTTGAAAGAATTGTTATTGTTATCATTTTGCCTCAATTTCCTGATAAGTAAAATAACACTTTTTATTTGATATGGTGCTTATTTTATTTAAAAGTGTGAGTAAAAGAATATATATTATGTATATGTACCAACTCCTCACAATGAATGTAAATATTATGTACTACAAACACTGCTAATACAAATAGAAGAAAAGAAAAGGAAAATAAAAGAGGTGAATGAGTACAAAGAAATATACATTCAGGTGCAAGAGGTTAACTATTTGAAATTCCTCATACAAGGAGCCTCTAGAAAACTAGTTTTATAAAACAAAGGTAAAGACAATTTTGGAAGAAAATATTGACAAAAATCCATTGTAGTTAACATCATTTAGTTCACAAACTGAATAATATCTTTGAGATGTTTTCACAGGTAGAAATTTTTATTAGATGTTAGAGAAAAGAAGATGGCAAATAGGTATGTGAAATGATATTTAATATCATTATATATGGGAAATAATAATCAAAATACGATGAGATATCAATTCACACCAATAAAAGGATTAACAAAATCAAAGACAAAAGATAACAAATGTTAGGATGTAGAGGAAAGGTAACCCTTTCACACTTTTGTAAATTGGAAATTGATACAGCCATTTTGGAAAGCAGTATGGAGATTCTTTAAATTTTTTTTTAAAAACTACAGTATGATTGAGTGATACCAGTTCTTCATATGGATGCCAAGAATATAAAGTCAGTATGTTGAAGAAATAACTTTGTTTTCATGTTTTCTTCACCATGATTTTCAACAGACAAATACTGAAGCAAACTAAATAACCATCAACAGATAAATTAAAATGTAATATATATGAAATATGTGGAATCAAATGGTGATTGTCAGAGGAAAGGGTAGAGTGAGAAATGGTCAAAAGTTAAACATTTTCAGTTATAAAATAAACCGATCATGAGAATCTTAGTACATATGGTGGGTCTTGTTAATGATGTTGTGTTGTTTAGTTGAAATTTCTTAGAGTAGATTTCATGTCCTCTTCAGACACCTACCAACCCATTTACACCCACACATATATGCTTCAGTATTACCTTTTCATGAAGCTTTCCGTGTGCTTCCTATTTAAAATCACACTCCAAATCATAAAAGTGCTCTCCACATCATGTCTATATTATTTTTCCAGGTCAATCACCATAAAATAGTGCATCCTTTCTTACTTACTTATTTTCTGTTGTATAACTTTACTGACTGGAAATTAAAGTCCATTAGGAGTAGATTCTTCCATATTTCATTTATTACTACTTACCTGAGCTAAGAACGGTGCAAGATACAAAGTGCTCAATATTTGTTAAATGAAATAACTAGTAAATATATGTTAGTTGACTGTAAAATACAATATATCTCAAATGATAACCATCATCTCTCCAACTTCAAGCAATATTCTATTTCCACAAGCAGCCTGACTCAAAGTTATGGAGACATGGACTATATATCATTTATTTTCAACTTTTAATTATGGTCCTGGAAGGAAGATACCATATCATGTGAAACATAATAAATGTTTAGGCACCAGAAAGACCTCAGTTTATTTTCCCCCTTCATTTAATAGCTGTTCCACCTGAAGTACAACACTAAATTTCTCTGCTCAATTTTTTCCTTTGTAAAATGAAAATAATCTTAGTATTTACAGAAACACTGTGAGAATTAACTTTGTTAATGTATGTAATACATTTAACATATCATTAGGTACATAATATGCTCAACAAACGTTATTATAAGTGACATTGCATTTTGCAAAACAATTATTTTTTACAACCATAAATATTTTAAATTTGCACTGCTTGTACTTAAGTTTTTACCTTTATTATTTAGTTAGTCTTCTTATCTACTATTTTTCCCACTCCATTCTACATCAGGCTGTCATAACTACTTTTTTCTAAGACTGCCTCTTTGAAAATATTTAATTTTTCTTTATTTCCCACAAATCACAAGTTATCTACTCTGGCAATGCCTTTCTTAGTTCACTACAACCCTCTTTTAGAACTTTTGCCAATAATCCCCTAACATGCCCTATTCACCAGCCTAATTGTTTTTCCTCCTTAAACTCCTTTTTCTTTATACAAACAGCATCTGATCCTCTGCTACCTCAACCTACAATATTGTCTTCTTTTTGCCTAGCAATCCTCTAGATTTGTAAAGGACTTCCTCAAATTTCCTCCTGTTCATGAAATACTTTTTGCATAATTCAACACTGTTGTGCTGATCCTTTTCTCTAAACTATATTTGTAACTGTTTAAGTAACTAACTTCGTCTTCTTCTGGTATCATAATTTGTGCTTGCTCCTTATTTATATCAGGGTCTTCCTGCCCACTCATCACATTTTAAATAATCCATCAACTCCTTGAAGTTATAGCCTGAATCTTATACACTTATGCATCTAGCAAAGTACCTAAAGGCTTATTTACAAGTAATGGATTCATCAAATATAAACTCATTAAGTATTTTTTCAATATCTACAATGTTCTTGGCAACATTCTTTGTACTGAAAATGTAGAAAATAATAAAAATCACATGATTTTTTAGGGAGAAAAGAATTATTTGGCTTACAGTTTGTAGACATTTCAGTCAATGAGGCACATGATTTCTGAGTTCTTGGGCCTTATATTCTAGTAAGAGAGAATAATAAACACTGTTGAGTGTGAAAAGTACTATCATAGGTAAATTCAGTGTACTCTATGAGCATATAAGAGGAGAACTACCTAAACTATTAGAACACATTTGCTGAACTGAAATGAAAAAGTTGAGACTATTTCTTTGAATTTTATACTCTTCTTGGTCATTCTCTTTTATAGGCAACCATTTTATCAAAAGGCAATTTTACTTTAGAATGCTCACTAGGTGCATACTTTAGTAAGCCAAGAAAAACTAGATATAGTGCTGCAAGTATGCAAATAATGTGAGCCTGAAAATGTGTGGGCATATGTATGTGAGGCAACTGTTATCATTATACTACATTCACAATAAAAAATGATGGGTAGAAGGCAGTGCAATGTCTTTTTTCCTGATTATAATCAATACACATGGCAAACATAAGGGCTCCTCCTTCATTATTTAAAAATTTCACCTATATCTGGTTGTCATCTTATTAAAATTTTTTTGTGCCTCAAAAGAAACCACCAGAGTGAGGAGACCACATATAGAATGGTAAAAAATTACACCAGATATTTATCAGACAAAAGACTAATATATAGAATATGTAAAGAACTCAAAAACAACGGATCTACAAATTTAAAGACCCAATATGAAAGTGGACATCTGAAATAAATAAATATTTCTCGGATGAAGAAGGACAAATACCAAATAAATACATGAAAAGAGTTAAACATCACTGGTCATTCAAGAAATGCAAGTTGAAAGAACACTTATGCAATCTCATCCTAGGAAGAATGGTTATTATCAAGAAATAAATAAATAACAAATGCTGGAAAGAGTGTGGGGGGAGAGGGATGCGTTACCACTGTTGAAGGGAGTGTAACTTGGTATAACCCATATGGAAATAAGTGTATAGATTCCTCAAATAGATCAGATTAAAGGTCTCATTTGACCCAGGTATTTCCTTTCAGTATTTCTTCCTAGAAAAATTAAAAACAGTCCATGACATCCCTAGCCCAGAGGACACTTTTAAGATCATCTCTTCCAGAGCTGAAGGACCTTCCCAGAGCCCAGCCACACCTGGCTGCACTTGGCAAGTTTCAGGCCTGCCCAAAACACACCCAGTAACCTTCTCCAAACCGGGAAGCTCAGCTGATGGCTGGAGTAGGCTGGAGTGAGTCCATGCCATCCCTAGCCCTGGGGAGACTTTAAGATAATCTCTTCCAGAGCTCAAGGATGCACCCAGAACCCAGGCACATGAGACTAGCCTTGGAAGGTTTTATGGACCAACTATATTATGCCCAGTGACCTTCTTCAATTACAGGATTTGAGAGTAGGTGAAATGAGTCCCATGGCAATGGTCTTCACCCAGGAAGAGCTTCAACCAATCATCCACAGTGGTTAGGTGCCTGGCCAGGTACCTGAAGCACTGAAGGTGGCACGGGAGGGCCTGAGGGCCTAACTGGACCAGGCTCAGAAACTTCCCTTCAGTTCCAGGAGCCTAGGGCATGGGAGACAATTTGCAACACATCCAGGGAAAGCTTTGGAACTACACTTGAAACATAGAAATCAGGAAAATGACAAAGTGAAAGACCTAAATGCAACCTCAAATCTCCAGCCCATCCCAAGAAACCTTAGGAGCTATGTAAATAGAAGAAAATATATGCCATACACCTGAAATACCTGAAATAATAGCAACTGAAATAAGGAAGCAACTCTGGGAAGTGCTAAAGGAATTCAGAAATAATCTCTCAGGTAAAAGAAGAAATTATAAAAGTAATGAAAGAGGTGCTAAACAAACCTAAAGAAGACACAGTTAAAAAATTGGAGGAACTAAACAAAGAGATAGAATCCCTGGATGAATAATATAAAAGACAAACAGAATATGTAAAGCAGATGCAAAGAGATATACAGGAAATCAAAAATTCCATTGAAAGCTGTAAAAACCGCCTCAATGAGAGTGAAGATAGAATTTAGACCTCAAAGACAGGATGGCAGCTAGTGAAAAGGAAAGGCAGGATCTTTTAAAAATAACAAGGAACAGGAAATAACAATTTAACAGCTACAAGATGATGCAAGCAAAAACAAAATACTATTGTTAGGGATAAATGAAAAAGAAGGGGACAACACAAAAGATGTCAAGAGGATATTTAGAGAAGTAATAGCTGAACATTTCCCAAACATGAGAACACAAATTGACATCAGGATTAGTGAAGCATAGAGAACTCCAAATAGTCATAACCAAAAAAACTACACCCAGACATATAATAATCACCATCCCAGATATCCAACATAAGAATAGAATATTAAAAGCTGTCAGAGAGAAAAGACAGACCATCTATAAAAGGAAAAACTATCACAATCACTGCAGACTTCTCAGCACAAACAATAAAGTCAAGAAGTGAAGTATTTAAGATCCCGAAGAAAAATGGTTTCCAACCTAGACTGATGTATGCTGCAAAACTGTCCTTTAAAATCAATGGAAAACATCCATGACAAAGAACAGCTGAAGAACTTCATGATCACCAAGCCAACCCTGCAAAGAATACTGAAAGACAGTTTAGATACACTTAGGAAAAAACTACTAAGCAAAGCAGACAATTAAACAGAATGGAAAGATAAAGATGCATCAGCAGAAAGATAACATGTCAACAATAAACCAACATATAACAGTTATAAACATTAATGTAAATGGTCTCAATGCACCAATTAAAATAAACAGACTGGCAGAATGGATCAAGAAACAAAATCCAACCATATGCTGTCTACAAGAAACCCATCTAACCCAAAAGGATACTCACAGATTGAAAGTCAAAGGATGGAAAATAATACTTCATGCAACAGGAATCCCAAAATAAGCTGGGATAGCTATTCTGTTTTCAGACAAAGTGAACTTCAAGTGAATAATAATCAGAAAAGAAAAGATCATTACATACTGGTTAGGGGAAAGTTTTAAGAGGAAGAGATAACAATCTGAAATATATATGCACCAAATTCCAGAGCACCAAGTTATATAAAACAAGTAATAAAAGAAATGAAAAACCAAATTAGCAGTAACGCAATTATAACAGGAGACCTTAACACAACATTGGCACCAAGGGACACATCAAACAGACAGAAAATCAGCAAAGAAATAACAGAACTGAATCACATATGTGAACAAATGGACGTGATATATATATATATATATATATATATATATATATATATAGAGAGAGAGAGAGAGAGAGAGAGAGAGAGAGAGAGTGAGTGAGTGTTCAACCCAATAACATAAGAATACACATTCTTCTCATCAGTACATGGGACATTCTCTAAAGCAGATCATATATTGGTCCACAGAACACATTTAAATAAATGCAAAAGAGTTTAAATTGTCCGCTGTATGTTACTGAATCATAGCACCATGAAATTAGAAATTAGTGATAAAAGATGCAGCAAAAATCCCACAAACACATGGAAACTAAATAACACAATCAGTGACTAATAGGGAAGTTAAAGAAGAAATTAAACAATACCTACAAGCAAACAAAAATACAAATACAACTTACCACCATCTGTGAGATGTAATGAAAGCCGTCCTCAGAGGAAAATTTATTGCACTGAGTTCCCACATCAGGAAAACAGAACAAATATAAATAAATAACCTGAAGCTACACTTAACACACCTAGAAAAAGAAGAGCAAGTCAAGCCCAAAGCCAAAGAAGGGAGGAAATTATAAATTCAGAGCAGAAATTAATGCAATAGAAATTAAGAAAACAATCCAAAGAATCAATGAATCAGAGTTAGTTCTCTGAAAGAATAAATAAAATTAATAAGCCCCTCGCCAACCTTATTAAAAAAGGGAAGAAAAAGCTCAAATTCATGCAATAAGGAATGAAAGAGTGAAATCACTACACACTCTGTAGAAATACAGGAGATCATCAGCACCTATTTTGAAAACCTCTACTCTCTTAGGTTTGATAACACAGAAGAAATAGATAGACTCCTTGAAACTTATGAAGTACCAAAGCTAGGTCAAGAAGATGTAAAACTGCTGAATAACCAATATCTATTAATGAACTCGATAATATAATTAAGTCCTTACCTACAAAGAAGAGCCCAGGCCCAGACAGATTCACTCCAGAATTCTACAAGAAGTACAAAGAAGACTTCATGCCGACACTCCACAAACTCTTCAATGAAATTGAAAGGGACGCAATCCTTCCTAAGTCATTCCTGGAAGCAAATATTATTCTAGTATCAAAACCTGAGAAAGACCCAACTAATAAAGAGAACTACAGACCAATCTCCCTAATGAACACAGATGCAAAAATCTTCAATAAAATATTGGCAAATAGGGTGCAGCAAATAATCAAGAAGATTATACAACAAGACCAAGTGGGATTCATCCCAGGCATTCAGGGATGCTTCAACATAGGTTAATCAATAAATGTAATCCACCATATCAATAAAGCCAAAAGTAAGTATCACATGATCATATCTATAGATGAAGAAAAAGCTTTTGATAAGGTCCAACACTCATTTATGACAACAACCTTACATAAAATTGGAATAGACTGTTTTACCTCAATATAATAAAGGCCATCTGTGACAAACCAACTGCCAGTATTATACTAAATGGCCAAAAATTGAAGGCATGTACCTTGAAATCAGGTGCAAGATAAGGATGCGCCTTATCACCACTTCTATTTAATACAGTACTGGAAATACTAGTCAGAGCAATTAGATAATAGAGAGAAATAAAAGGGGCAAAGATAGGAAGAGAAGTTAAATCATCATTATTTACAGATGACACGATTGATACCTTACAGGGAAGACCCCCAAAACTCCATTGAAAGACTCCTAGATAAAATAAATAAATTCAGCAATGTAACTGGATACAAAATCAATACTCAAAATTCAATAACATTTCTATATATTGACAGCAAAATCACAGAGAGTGAAATAAGAGAAGCCACATCCTTCCCAGTAGCAACCAAAAAATTGAAACATTTAGAAATTACTCTCATGAAA